GGACACACACACACACACACACACACACACGGACACGGACACGGACACAGACACACACGGACACACACACGGACACACACACATACTGCATGAATGAATGAATACATGAATGAACGAACGAACAAGTAAATATAAAAAGAAATTGTGAAATAAAAACAGAGTCGCACAGACTCCCAGGAAGCGCGGAGTCCACCAGGAGAACATCACAGCTCGGTGGCTCATCTTCCTGAAACAGAACAATCACTCTCTATGAACCTTTACTTCTAGGTACTGCTTTGAGACAGGCTGGTTCCCGAGAGCTGTGTACAACTGTATACCACTAAAGAGATTTTGCTGAACAGAAAACCAATGTTCAAGACAGAACATTTAGGGAATACCTAAGTGTAAAGAAGAAAATAAAAGTGATACTGAAAGCCGGGCGGTGGTGGTGGTGGTGGTGGTGGCCCACGCTTTTAATCCCAGCACTTGGGAGGCAGAGCCAGTAGGATCTCTGTGAGTTCGAGGCCAGCCTGGGCTACCAAGTGAGTTCCAGGAAAGGCGCCAAAGCTACACAGAGAAACCCTGTCTCGAAAAACCAAGGGGGGGAAAAGTGATACTGATTCTCTTAAACTAAAAGTTATGACCTTTCGAAATAAAACCATATTCAGTTTTCATGTTCCTGGATAAAAAGTGACTCTGTGAGCAGACTTCTACAACACTAAGCTCAGTTCTCTTTCCGGGAACTAGCAGATCAGTGTCTACTTCAGAGAGAGAGGGTAGCACAGTGTCCTGGGTAGGTTACAGAGATGCTGGAGGGTTAGGACACCCTACTTGCAAATGCACTGATTTGTGGATGAAACTGGAAACAATACACTCCAGGCCTCCTCAAGGATGGAGGTGTCTGAGGGCACAGGAGGACAGAGATCATTATCTAACCCTCTACAAGCCTCTGATGTGCAGGTAAGATGTTGACCAAAGGTGAATCATCCCTGTCCAGTCAGATCTCAGAAATTACTTGGGGAGCTACAGCACAAGTTTCCATGTTTGGGATAAGTGTGTAACTTTATTGTCATGGTAAAGAAAAGTTAAAAGCAAAGGGGGAATTCAGTATATGTCACAACATAATCAGATAATCTATGAATTAAAATGAAAAAATTCAGACCCTTCAGTCTGAAAAATATCACTTTGTATATAAGGATTAGATGAGACTTACAAGTCCCCTGTGCAATGGAATGAAGCCCTGATGAGATACACCAGAATTCCTTACCCTTTCACTGTTTAGTTTATAGAAATAAAAGTATTTATAAAGTCAAAGTACTCTGAAAGGCGTTAAGTATATATAAGTGCTGGGACAGAAGCCTCGGCCTCACAGTGAAGGCTCCGATCTCAGTGTGAACTCAGCAGAGATCACAACAGGACAATGCTTCAGCCCTTCGGTCTACGGTCAGCTATGCGGAGCAGCCACTAGGGGTCACCAACACGTTTAAAGGGGATGGTAAGTTTGGTTATGGGTTTGTTTGTGCTGTTGTTGTTTTTAAATAGATTTTAAATTCTTCAAAACATTCCTTTTCAACAATCAACATGCATATAACTCATTACTCTTTTCAGAAAGGTGGTGTGTCTGCTGTCTGCTGCTTGAACATAGTGGCAGTGATAGATCATATGGGACAGGTATATTTACAGTGGAAAACAGTACACCGCTTTCCCACCCAGGACAACTGGGGGCAGCCAGTTCGGTTCTTACCCTCTGGCTCGGCCTATGATCTCAGAGAGAGTCATGTGTGCAGGAGTGAAGCAAGAGAGCACTGAGGAACCGTGGAATCAAACACTTGCATTTTCAAAGGTGATTAGAGTGGACGTGTTCTCCAGTCTTGTGGTGCTGGCGTCCATACAGGAGCACCAGCTAATGCTCATTAATGTTTCATGTGTTCAACTGGCGTATTTCCTATTAACTTCATACATGCACACAACACATGTGTTCTGGCTACTGTCTCCCCTTACCCTCAATGACCTCCCTCCCACCCCCACAATCCAACCTCAAGTCTTCACACTGTGGTATGTCCTATAAAGCTCTCTGGGCCCACAGCACCGGGAATTACACTTCTATGAGTTTCCAGAAAGACGCGGCGGGACATTTAAGGGGTACTGAGGCAGGACCTGGCGGGGCGCAGAGAAGGGAAAGCCACCTTATTCCCCAGTGGGATGTTTGCAGCAGCCAGGGAGGGACAGGGGAGACGGGTGGAGCCAACACAGCTCTGCACAGGAAACAAAACGCTGCTGGGAAAGGCAGGCGGCCAGCGTGGCTGCTCTGCTCTGAGTCCACCTTGCCGTGAAAGGCTCAGACGGGAATGACAGGTTGCAGCGGGGTTAACAGTGCAATTCTTCAACTTCCTTTTCTTTCCTTCTCATTCCCTCTGCCTCCTTCTCCTCTGTGAGACAGGATCGAGGCTACACACAGAAGAGGCTAGCCTTGGTCACTACACAGCCCTCCACCTCAGGGTCCCGTCTCAGCCTCCCAAGTGCAGGCATCACAGGCTCCTTAACACACAGCACCTTATCCCACAGAAACAGCATGCGGCAGATGTGTTAGCAAAGCAGGAGGTCCATCCCAGAGCTGCCTTCAGAACAGCTACCAACTGTCACCCAGGCCTTATGAAGGCCGCTGCCCTCTTTCTCACCCTGTCCAAGGGTAGATGAAGGTGCTGAGGAGCTAGGGCACCGGGACTCACTGAGAGCCTCACGTCTGGGGAAGAGCCTGTGAGTGGTGGATTCCGAGCTTGGGAAGTAGGTGGATTCTGGGAAGGAAGGGGATCAACAGTCCTGGTCTACAGAGAGTTAAGTGTCTGGACTGACCCTGACCCACAGATGTTCTGGGCCACAGGACACCGGGAAAGAGGCTGCGCAGAGACTAAGGGACTCAAGAGAAGCACGCCAGTCAAGAGGAATGGGCCGCACAGTCGGCCTGGCTTCAGCAGGACCGGCGAGGTCTTCACTTTCGGATGCGGAGGCTGGACCGCTCTACTGCTGTCCAAGTCCCCGGGGCTCCTGGACAATTCAGGGGGAAAAGAAGCCCCAAGAGGAAGGGACTGGACTTCCTTCGGATAAGATATATGGGGCAGACACAATGACGTGTGCCCCAGCCATGGCAACTCCCATCCTACCCGCACCACGGAAGAGCACAGGCCTGGGGCTGGGTCTGCAGCTGCAGTCTCTCTGTTATGCGGGAAGCCTTACCTGCAAAGCAGCTTCTGAAGCAAAATGAGGTGGACAGAATGATCCACAGCAGGTGGCTCTCTCCTCTCGGAGGCACACACAGGCCTACTTAACCACACCCCACAACCCTGCTCCTGCCCAGTAACTGGATTCGACTAGCCCCTCTGAGTGTCTCCAGGGCTCTGTTAAGAACGCTCACACACAGTGCGCATTTCAACCTTTGGCACCCTGTCCCTGAGACAGCCTTCCCGTGACCTCGGCGGTCAGAGGTTGGGGCAGGAGCGGCTCTCCTCCTGTGCTTACACCAAGGCTCCTAACCATTCGACCTCACTGGTCTCCTCACATGGACCGACGACAGTGGGCAGGATTTAGGATCAGAACACTGATGAAAGGTCACGGCTAAAGCTCCTGCTTAGCGTGGCTGGGGTGTGTCAGTGAGTGCAGCTCCGGTGGGTGATCCCGGTGCAGGCCTACAGAGAGGTGGGCAGTGCAGGGTGCTGGGCGGGGTCCTCAGACACTGTGGGCCAGCGAGCTTGGTGGGAGCGATGGCAAAAGACAGCAAAGGGGGATCAGATCCTGGCTGGAGGTGGAAGGTGACACCCAAGGCTGTCCTCTGACCTCCTTAGGTGGGCGTGCATGCGTGCGTGCGTGCGTGCGTGCGTGCGTGCGTGCGTGTGTCTGTGTGTGTCTGTGTGTGTCTGTGTGTGTCTCTGTGTATGTGTGTGTCACATATACTCCCAAAGCAAATCCTATCTACCAATATACACAAAGTTACATGTTTTACGAAAAATAAACAGTGATTCTTCTTTCCTATTCTTACAGGAAGCTATTGAGGAAAATAGTATTCCAGACTCGTCTGGGGCGGTGGGGGCTAAACCACAGCTTTCCCTTTGTTCCTTTAACACAGTCGTACAAACCCTTGCACAGCCTTGAGGCAGACGGAGTAGAAGACCTGTGATGAAAGGAAGCAGAGCCAGAGCACAGCAGCCTGTGGCTGGGGCACTCGAGGGCAACTCAGCACCCCAACCGCCCAACAGAACCCACCAAGCTGGACAAAGAGCTCTGCTACCACGACTTCTTACTGGAACATGTTAGAGACCTCATCGCACAACCAGTCACAATGATGTCGTCCCTAAGAAGGTGTGTGTGTGTGTGTGTGTGTGTGTGTGTGTGTGTTGATCTATAGGCCGAGGAGTGTGTAAAAGGTGAGCTCAGTCTGGTCCACATAGTGAGTTCCAGGCCAGCCACGGCTATCTAGTGAGACCCTGTTTCAAAGGGAAAAAAAAAAAAAAGGAAGAAAGACGAGG